ATCAGAACACCTTACACTCCACCAACAATGCACAAGGACCCCTGACTCTCCAAACCCCTGTCAACACTTCTGACATACCGCTAGGAAGAAACCACCTGTTAGCATTTTAACTTCTATACCAGGCCATTTGGTTTTCCTTTTTAAAGAATTCCTTCTCTGTGTCCTTTGTCTACTTTTCTATTCTGAAATCATCCCCATTTTCCTTACTGATATAAGTGCTCAGACATATATAAAGGTTACTAATCTCTTGTCATATAGGCTGTAAGTTATCTTTTTCATTTTTTGGACTTCACTTACTAGGTAGGGAATTGTCACATTTCCTTTTATATGGTAGCTTTGTTTCCACATCAGTTTGTCTACTTCAATAATAACATACATTTAACAACATTGAAGCAGCCACCAGTCAGTCCTGCAGGCTCCCCTTCCCCATGAGCACTGCACCCTCACAGCTTCTCTCCATCTCCCCACCCACAACAGCTCCAAGGCACCACTGTAGTCTAGACTAGACTGAAGGTGCTAAGACGGCAGGTGTTCTGTTCTCATCATTCCTGTATCCCAAGAGTGCCCAACATGACAAGTATCTGCTGAATGGATGGACAACTAGAACCACCTCCTTACTGGTCTCTGTTCCCCTCCATAACGTACTCTCCCACTTTGTCAGCCACACTGATCTTTTAAAAGCATAAAACAAATCATGCTGCCCTAGCTGGCTTGGCTCAGTGGATAGAGCCTCGGACTGCGGACTGAAGGGTCCCAGGTTTGATTCCGGTCAAGGGCACATGTCCAGGTTGTGGGCTCCATCCCCAGTTAGGGGTGTGCAGGAGGCAGCTGGTCCATGGTTCTCTGTCATTATTGATGTTTCTAACTCTCTCTCCTGTCCTCTCTGAAATCAATAAAAATAAAATAAAATATATTAAGAAGTTGAATTTAAATAAAACACACACACACACACACACACACACACCACCAATCATGCTTCCTAGCGCATGTTTAGACTACAATCCAAACCCCCTTTAAAGGCCCAAGAGATCCCTGGTACCTCTGCAGCCTCATACCCTACCCCTCGCAGCTCACCCTCCTTCTGAACCTCGTTCCTCATGTAAGTAACGCCCTGGGACTGGGTAAAGGCTGCTAAGGCTGGTTCCTGGTCTTTCAGGACTCAGCAATATCACCTCCTTTGCAGGTCAGCTGACAACCCTGACACTGTCTTCCCAAACCACTCTCCACTCCCCTCTTTGTCTTTTAGAGTCTGAAAACACAGTCGATAGACTAATTTTTGGTATTTCTCGAAAGAAAAAAAGCACAGAAAGAGGAAGGCCCTCAGCAGTGCTCTCCAAAATCCCGGGACCTGGAGCGGGGGCAAGGGTGGCCTGTGCACTCAGGCGCCCAGGCGGCTCCGTGCCCTCCGCCCCACGCACCCCGGCTTCCCGGGCGCACCTGAGCCTCCGCGCTCCGGCGCTCCTCCCACTGGAGACAGCTGTCCAGGTCGCGTCGCCATTGCTCGCACGCCGGCCGCTCTCCGTGGACGTAGTAGTGGTGCAGGAAGTGCCCGGCGCTGCGGCAGAGCTTCCACTCGGCGCGGTAGGCTTCGCAGGGGCGCGGCGGCTGCGGCGAGAGGGGCGCCTGAGCCGGACGCCGCTGCGCCGCCCACTCCGGAGCTCCCACCCGGATCCTCCCGGGAGAGACCTCGCTTAAGGCGGCCACACGGTCCGACGCGGTCCCCCCAATCCCTGGCGCCCACCGCACTTACCTGCCAGCCGCCGCCGTCGGCCATGTTACGGCGAGCACCTAACCTGCCTTCCTCAGCCCGCTAGCCAATGACCAATGAAAATCGACTAGGCCAGCTCCGCGCGAGAAACCGAGGAACTCAGAGATCTGACGATTTAAATCCTCGCCACCTCCTTGAGACACGCCCATAAACAGGACGTTCGGGTGCGGCAGCCAATAGCAGCCGGGACGGGGCGGGGCGCAGGCGGGAGGGGTGGAGCCCAGAGAGCTGGGGGCGTGCCCGGCGGGTAAGAAAGCTCCGCCCGGTGTTGGGTGGGCTTCCGTGTCTGCACCGCCGCAGGTTAAGTTGGCTGTTTGTGAAACCCCGCGGGTCAGGCCAGTTCTTTTCAGCGGCTATTATTTCACAAATCTCAAAGATCGGGCTTACTGTCGTTAGCACACACTGTGCAGCAGCCACCGCGAAGCTGCCGAGTCTACTGCTGCAGTGACCTCTCGAGGACGGAGATGAACTCACAAAATAACGGGGGGTTGGCTGGGCATAACGTGTGGAGGGGTAGGGTATCTAAGGTGTGGGACAACCTCCCGAGGGAACTCAGGCTGGAAGTGGAGGCGAGAAGGGCATTCTGAGCACAGAGGCGGGGTGGTCCGAGGCATGGGGGCTGGGAGTGGCATGGCGTACAAGTCCAGGGCCGCTTGCATATCTGATGAGGAGTGAAAGCTTTCCTGAGACAGAAAGCCCTGCAGTACCAATGCAATGGTTCCCCAGTCTATGCAAACCTGATCATATGCAGGGGAGCAGCCCCTTACAAGGCGGCTGCTGGGCCCCTTTTATGATTGAGACTGGGTCAGAGGCCCTGCAGGTGGTTCAGAAAGCTGCATTTTTATCAGGAGTCCTGCCTGATTGGCTCACAGACCAGCTTGGAGAAGACACTGTGTGACAATAAGGTTTCGGACCAGGGTACAGCAGTAATAACCAGGACTTTTGCTCCAGGTGATCCCACTGTATCACCAGGAGACCCACAATTGGGTCCAACCCTGGCCCAGGCAGGGGAGTGTGCCTCCAGCGATTTCATTACATGTATAGTAGGTGATACCTAGGGAAGACAAAAACCCAGGCCAGCATCTTTATTATCCACAAAATGACAATATGTCAGGCAATGTGATCCTGCCAATGGAGGTTGCCTACGCACCAAGGACTTCTACCTCTGTAGTGAAGCTGAGACTCCTTAGGTCAGGGGTGGGGAACATCGGGCCCACGGGCCATATAAGACCCACAAAATCATTTGGTCTGGTCCTGCCAAGGCCTTAGGGGTGAGTTAATTAAATGTCTGACCAAAGAGAGCAGGCTAATTTTTAAGTTGGTAATTTTGTATGACCCACAAATGTTATAGCCAATGGCCCTTGGCAGGGAAAAGGTTCCCCACCCCTGCCTGAAGTGAAGAGCCAGGGAGGTCACAGTGGTACTGTGTGCCTTCTGAAACCACACTCATCACCATGATGGATGAACAGCCCTGGTCATCATGACAATCTTCAGTGCTCATTCTCTGAGGCTACATGGGTGGACGCTGGGCTGTTGTCCTGGTGTGGTGCATCCTTTCCTCTTCTGCGTGTTGGGAGGAGCCTTGTTCAGAGAAGGACCCTCTGCCTACAAGTAGGAGGAGACCAGGTACAAGGGGAGATCTGGACCTGACCACCCTCACCCCAGGGGTCAGAGAGCCTCGTTTCTCTATACATTGTCCAGGAGCCACTCCCCTGTCCCCAAGTTCTTTTCTAACAGCACTATGGAATGAGGGGTACCTGCAAGCAAGCCTTCCTCCAACTCCTGATCAGTGGCCCAAGCATCAATCCCTGTTGACATCTAATCAAACATTTAGAGGCAATCCAGGTTTTAGTCTTTCCCTGTTTTTATTTGAAAATTTAATTTGGAATTACTTTCAAGGAACAAAAGAGATGAAAATAATTGGGTTAACATGTCAAAAGATCTCACTTTATAGAAAGTGAGGAACTGAGACCAATACAAAATATGCAGGCCAGCAGAACATTGGATAATACATTAAACTGGGAGTGGGAGATAGGGAAGGAGAAAGAGGACCATCTTTAGCGTTTATTTATTCTAATATTCACATTTGTGTTTCACCATGAAGTTTTGTTGTTCCCTCCCTCCCCCTAATAGAATAGATTCATGGAGCCAGTTATTTTGAAATGAAAACTGAAAGTAGAAATGTTTTCAGATCAGGTTTTCCTTCTGAGGAATGGTTCTTTTGTTAAAAAAAGAAAAAAAAAAAGTAAAATAAAAACAGAAAAACCCATCCTCAAATACTTAATTGTAGCCAGAGTAATGGAATAACCATTTATAGAGCACAAATCTATTTAAACCACTTTTCTTTAGGCCAAAGGCAACATCTAAGCTACAGATCCACAAAAAGAAAGGATAAATAAAATAAAAAGAACATCACAAGTTAGAGCAATTCAACCCCTTCCTTTGATTTTTATCAGAAACTGGGGAACTCTGCTCCTGCTGGGTCAGGGGGAGTGCTCCCAAGGGCTGAAAGCAAGAAGTGGTGAGGCCACCGCCTATGGGACCCAATTCAAGTACATAACCACGGAGTCCTGCATCCCACTTCCAGACTAAACTAGACAATTCTCAGGAAGCTCTAAACAAACCTAAAGTGACAGAGTATCCTTTGCAATAGTTTCATTCCTGTCAGAGCCAGTAACTAAAAGCCATTATGTTGCAATTGAGTATTTTATTTTCCAATCGGCTAACTTATGGCTTTCTTCCCTTTTTACGCAATGACTGTCCTTCTCCAGAGAAAGCGACGAATCTGCCTCCAGCTTCATCCTGTGTGAAGATAAAATACTATTTTCAGAAATTTCTTGGAGGTTTATAGAAAATGCTTTATTCTGCTGACTCATGTACCACCCATTTTCCTTACGCCCATTATTGATAAGAAATGTTTTTGAAATATAAATACAAATCATAATCAACTGAATTGAACATATGACCATACAATCACAACTATGTGTCTACCACTGCCTTTATTCTAAGGGTGAACGTATATCCTTTTGCAGAAGCATCACATTTTTTATATATAAAGTATAAAATACACCCCCAAAAGAAAAGTCACCTGTAACTCCACCACCCAAAAAGAACACTTCTAGTCACTTTTCTGTATGTGCTAATATAAACTATTTCAAACTTAATTCCCAAGTCTCAAGACAATGGATTTCTTATCTAGTACATTCTAAAACCTACAGAGAATTTCATCACGTGGGAGAGGCAGTCTCTACCATTGGATATTACTTCTAGGTTTGCAGTATTTTAAATTGCTGTGGTGACCAGCTTAATGTGTTTACACACAGCCTGATATTTCCTAGAAGTGGAATTCCTTAGTAAGCTAGTCTCCCACCAGCAGAAAGAGGGCTTGTTTTTTCTGAACCCTCAAAAACAGGTATCTTTTATGTATTCCTTTTGTTAGTCAGCCAGTGGTGTTATCTATAGGAGATGAAGGTTCTGAGCTCCCGAACGCACACCTCTACACCCAGCCCCACACATTCCACACAGCCTCAACAGGACAACCAGGCCACCAGAGGGAGGAGGGCCCCAGGAATGAAGAAAAATATGACAGAAATACCCTGATTCAAAATGGAAAGAATTCCCCCACTCATCACTAGAAAATAAAACTTCTCACCTCTTCAACCTTTTTGATCAGTGGACGTGAATTTCTGATGAAAGTGATCTTACCAAGTTTAAATTCATAATTGGGAATTCCTCTGTAAAGACGGAAGGGGAGAAATGTTAGCTCCAGAAGAAAAAGACTCAAATTCTCTTTTGATAAACAAGAGGAAGGCAAGCCAAAGAGAGGAAGTGTGTCCTCTTGGTGATTCTCATTCTGAGGTATGCGGCTGTCAACCCCCTGGCCTTGGGCCAGCCCTCTGGTGCTCCCCAGCATCCCTATAGGAGAGAATCAGAAGGCAAATGGGGTAGGGCCTTCAGACTTGGGACCTAGCCTGCAGTGAAGGGTCACCTAGGGGCCTGGGAGGCCCTCCTCAAATCCACCCTGCAGCCTCACGGATCAACCTTGAAGGGGTACACTTGTACCAAACTCAGAGAGTGGGTAAAAAATCCATTATAGCATTATCCTTCTGCTCCAACATATAGTAGAGAGGTGACATATGGCAGGTGACACATCTCATCCCTGCCACCACTGTGACAGCCACCAGAGCAGGGAATCTGCTCTGAGTCCCTGGACCAAACAGAAACACATCTGTGAGGCAGCTCCTGCCTCCTGTTTGAAGGAAGTTGAGACACTGTGACTTGATGAATAAACAGAACAATAGGTTAGATAGGAACTGGAAAGGTTTTAAATAGGAGAGAGATCTGATGAGGGGCCAGTTGGAGGCGGGTGGAGGCTGGACTGCAGTGGTCCTGGACTGGAGGGAAGATACTGATAAACTTCCACTGAGAAACAGCAACTCCTCGTCATGTTCCAGTCCCCCAAGGAGTAGGTGGGGGTTGGGGTGGGGAATTCATCCACTCTGCTAGATTCTTTGAACCGGGCTTTATTTTCAGAGCTGGAGTGAGGCTGCCCACCCCAGAGGTCTGGCACAGACCCTCCCTAGATGATGATGAAGCATCAGGTTGGACCAGAGACAGGGCAGACCCACCTTTTGATGTCTCCAGGCTTGATGGGGGAGGGGCTGGGCTCTACACCTTTCTTCTTCCCGTCCAGTCTATTCCCGGAGCCGGAGAAGGCCTACACAGGCAAGCAGGAGGGTGAGCACATGTATGTGCTTTGCTGAGACTGCTGCAGGGGTATGTTCTGGGGGGCGCCACCCAGTCCCCCTCAGGAATGAAGCCCTCACTCCCCAGCTGCTGAAGTGTGGGCAGCTAAGAACTCCGTCTTAGGACTGCAGTGAGATGAAGGGAGTCTTCTGGCCCAAGAGCAACCACCGCCAGGGGTAGCCAGTAGCCAATAGACAATGACAGGTTAAAAGGTCTGGCCTTGGCCTCTGCAGGACCAGTCTGGGGCCCTGTGGATGGACTAAGCCCTCTGTTGCAACTGCCGCAGAGCAGAGCTCAGCTTTCCGTCCTCCACTGCCTCCCAGTGCCCTGATACTAGTCATCCCTTTTTCCCCAGGGAGCCGGGCTGGCAGCAGTGCTGAAGGGTCATGTTGCAATTTATTTTTAAACAGTGTAGGCCAAGAAAAGGAGAACATATTCTTAGAGATAAAGCAAATGTGGCCATATGGGTGAATCTAAGTGAAAGGTATATGTGTGTCCATTGCACTAT